ACAGTTATGGCTGTGTAAATGGAGGTGCATCCCAGGACCTTATGGTAAGTTGCCTTGAGTGTAGAATCAAAGGGCTAATAATGTCATTCAGCATAGTTCATCAGGTGATTGGTGAGAATAACAAGATGAGGAAGTTATTGGAATTTTCAGTAGAAAATATCATTCTCTATTCATATAACATTTGCTTTTATGTATTTTTTTATTTAGGCCTGGACTTCTCAACATCAGTGAACCTGCCACGCAGCCATGGCTGGCAGACACGTGGCCTAATACTGGCAACAATCACAATGACTGCTCCATCAACTGCTGCACGGCAGGCAATGGAAACAGCGACAGCAACCTGACTACCTACAGTCGCCCAGGTTAGGGACGCAGAGAGAGCGTGATCTGTATAAGCTTTTTAAGGAACCAGCCAGAAGATGTTTTCTTTCCCTCTCCCTGCATGGGAAGATAAAATTTGACCAATATTTTATCCAGTGCTGACTATCGTTTAGCAAAATAGCCTGATTTAAGTATTTTCTCCATCCCTTAACCTCCATACTTTGCTAAAGTCCACCAAAAATATTTTGCCCAGATAATTGGGAAGATAAATTATACAATCGATAGCAAATAAGGAAAAATAAAATCATGGGGAAGTATGTATGTATGTATTTGTTTATTGGAGACAGAATCTCACTCTGATACCCAGGCTGGCGGGTAGTGGCATCCGCTTCCTGAGTTCCAGTGATTCTCATGCCTCAGCCTTCCGAGTAGCTGGGACTACAGACATGCACCATCAGGCTCAGCTAATTTTTATGTATATATATTTGTAAGTAGAGATGGGGTTTTGCCATGTTGCCCAGGCTGGTCTCAAACTCCTGGCCTCACACGATCCATTCACCTCAGCTTCCCAAAGTTTTGGATGGGAATACAGGCGTGAGCCACCGTGCCCAGCCGTAAAAGTATTTAAAAAACAATTTTTTTTTTTTTGACGAGTCTCACTCTGTAGCCCAGGCTAGAGTGCAGATGCGCAATCTCAGCTCACTGCAACCTCCGCCTCCTGGGTTCAAGTGATTCTCCTGCCTCAGCCTCCCAAGTAACTGGGATTACAGTCACACAGCACGACACCCAGCTAATTTTTATAATTTTAGTAGAGATAGGGTTTTACCATGTTGGCCAGGCTGGTCACAAGTATTTATGTTGATAAGAATGTATGTGATTACGTTTTATTTTACCCTTTTTGTTTGTTTGTTTGTTTGTTGTTTTTTGAGATAGGATCTCACTCTCTCACCCAGGCTGGAGTACGGTGGCATTAACACAGCTCACTGCAACCTCAGCCTCCTGGGCTTAACTAATCCTCTCACCTCAGCCTCCCAAGTAGCTGAGACCACAGGCGGGCACCACCATGCCTTGCAAATCTAAAAAAATTTTTTGTAGAGATGCAGGTCTTGCTATGTTGCTCAGGCTGGTCTCAAATTCCTGCACGCAGGCAACCCTCCTGCCTCAGCCTCCCAAAGTGTTAGGGTTATAGGGGTGAGCTACTGTGCCTGCTATATAATTTTTAATTGTAATTAAATATCTTTAATCATATTTAATCATTTTTGAGATTTTGGGAATAACATAGATCAAAAGGTAAATAAATTCATAGTTATAATGAACCAAATTCTTTAATAGCAAAAACAATAATAATAATAATATACAACAGTAATACAAAAAATTAAATAAAAGTTAACTGGAATTTTAAATCAGATTTTATAGTATATTAGCAAATCCTGAGGACATGAGAGAGATATATATGTATATATTGTGTGTGTATATATACATACATACACACACATAGATATATATGTATTATGTGTATATATACACACACACACTTATATACATATATATATTTTGCAGGTGTGTATGCATACATTTATTTTCTATTGTTTGTTTTCTGGGTCAGATGTATATGTGACTAAAATTTCATGCCAAAACATAATAGGAAAAAATTGGATGTACATTATGCAAGATGTAAAGGAATAAAAATTACCAAAGATTTCTTACCCCCCCCCAAAAAAAAAACAATATTCGCAGTATAGGAAATAGTAAAATAATTGTAAGTAATCTCTATGATGATAGAAGTAAAATAACCTATGGAATTAAGGAAAGGCGAGGGAGAAGTTGGAGTTAAGTAAAGATGTTAAGCACGATAAAGAACCAATCATAGAGCAATCTGCATGTCTGCCCTTAAAATGAATCCTGAGTCTCCACTGGCTGTGGACGTGACATAGCCGCGTGACCGAGTCTCTGCCCTCCAGCGGTCCGTATGCTGAGTGTCTGGACAGATAGATACGCATGTAATCATAAGTAAAAGAAAAACTGGGTTGAGACCCATAGAAGAGAAAAAATGGCAATACCCATTTAAATTAATAGGTAGAGCTGTGTTGTCCAATATGGTAGCCATTGGCAACAGATGGCTGTTTACATTTAATTAAATAAAACACAGTCTAAAACTCAGTCCCTCTTTTGCACTAGCTACATTTCTAGTGCTCAGGAGCCACATGTGACTAGTAGCTGCTGTCTCGGACAAAGCAGAGTAGACCATGTCCAATATCTCCAAGGTTCTGTTGGATAACACACATATAGATAGGTTGGCGAAACAAAATGAGAATGCAAAAACCATGTGATCTTTATAGTATTTCTTAACCACTGTTAAACAAAACTAGAAATTAGAAATAGAAATCGCAAAGGCCAGATCAATCAAATATTTCTGCTCCCTGATGGTTCATGGTTGAAATGCAGAATAGTTGAATTCAGTAGGATAGAGAAGTTAACCCATTTTTCTTAAGATTATATTCACATT